TCTCTCTCTCTCTCTCTCTCTCTCTCTCTCTCTCTGCGCACACGTATTTGTGTGTGTGTGATTCTTTTCAGTTGAATATGTTGTTATTGTTCGGTTTTTTTTTATTACTCTTCATGATCCCTTTATCAAGCCTGCAACGATGTATATTGATTCTTTTACTATCGATATCGATTCTTCTTCACGGGCATGAACTTTGCCTTTTGCTTTAAGCTGAACAACATTGGAAAGTGATAGCCATCAAGACATTTTTCGAAACAGCAAAAAGAATAAGAAACAGGAGTCATCCAGTGAAGACGCAGTTATTAGAGTTGTCCAACTGCTTGCAAAGATACTGGGGTCTGTACAATAATGGCAAATAACGACCCCAAACTTAGCTTAGAATATCAAATAAATATTATCAAATTCTATTCTCTATTCAATTGTTTCCAATTCCTTCTCTTCTATTATATGCAGTGTCTCTTAAGGACTTGGGCAGTCATAACTGTCCTTCGTAGCTCTTTCAGGCCCTTCTTCACCAATTTACACAAGCTCCTTACGTCAGTTATTTGTTGTTTTCCTCTACCCAACTTCCCTTCAATAAGTCATAGAAGTGTTAAATTTTCCAAGCCCTCTTTTCTCATGTTGTGTCCCAAAAATTTCAACACTTTTTGATTTCAAATACAAGTGTCCTTTTTGTTTACATTTTCCTTAAAACTTCCTCTTTGAACACATGTTCCGTCCATGGTATTCTTAGTAATATTCTATAGAGCTACGTCACCTTATGTCTCTTCTTCATCTGTGAGGAAACTATCCGACATTCACACAAATATACGAGGCAGGTTAACACCCTTTTTTTTCCAACGAAATTTTCCTGTTTCTTAATACTTTGTTTATGTTTTTCAAGATATCTTTCTTTATTTCAATTCTCCTTCGGATTTCGGTGTCACATTTTCCGTCAACTGTTATGAAATTTCCCAGATATTTAAATTTCTCTACTTGTTTGATTCTAGCGCCTCCAATTCATAACTCGAATTTTAGACTGTCTCTTTTGCTAAAGAACATACATTGTCTTCATCCAATTGATGGTTCATCATTTTCTTTTACTACATTTTCTCTGAATATGATATATTAACTACCATACCAATATTTAACGTATTTTATGGCATATAAGACGCACGGATGTATAAGACGCGCCCCAATTTCAGCAGGAAAATCACAAAAAAATAGCAATTAGTAAAATTATTAATAGATGGTACAGCCTCGGCTATATTTATGAGGTATTATTTTCGTTAAACAGCTATGATTACAATTAAACAAAAAATAATAGCAAAAAAAGAACACGAGCCTATAAAAACTTTATCATATTCAAAGGTTTTGATCTTCAAAAGTTTAAATGCAATGTCAATCTTTATATACTGTCTTTTTTATTACTCTTCTATTGCTCTCTCTATTAATAATGTTTCTCTTTTTTTTCTAATTTTTTTCATACTCAGTAACCCGTTGTGTCTATGTGACTTTACTGCTCTGATTGGGGTAATATGATTTTTTTTTTAAATGAGCGAAACTAAACCGGAATTGAAACCGACTCGCCGAATTAAATCTAAATCATTGTTAAACGTTACAGAAGTAAAAAAAAAAAGGGCTAAATTTCCACTAGTCACTGGTAAAAATACAGCCGTACATAATTTGATGGACAATTTATTTTATTTTCTTTCTCTGCCCTTGATTTGTGGAGATTGTAAAGTCTGAGTGCAATGTTTTGTTCTTTTGTTTTGTTTTGTTTTGTTTTTTTTTTACTTCCCGCCTCCATTTTCAATGCTGCTGTGTACGGTCAAATGAAAATCCAATGACTATAAGCGGAATGAGATACATCAATCAAATATGCTTGCATATTCAATATCATTTCTTATCTTGTTAGCATCACATCCCATTTCCTAAACTGATAACAGGCTGGGTGTGGTTTCTCACACATCACTAGACATCCATTTTATTTTTTATGCTTGTTTCCTTTATTTAACAGATGCCAATTCAATATGTGAAAGCTGAAACATGTGAAAGACGAAATCAAAACTGCTATTTTCATTCTTTGCTTTTTTTTTCTAATTTTTCTCGGGTTCGGCTTACGCTACATATTTATTTCCATTTGATAAATGAAATTCATTCGAAGCTTCCAATGCAGATGGCACTGTGAAGATATTCCACGACTGAAAGGCAAGTGATTGATAATATAATGATATAAAGCCAAGAGAAAACAAAACGTTTTCAAGGAGAAAGAAAATCAAAGTAAAATCTTTAGAAACGTAAGTTACCCCAGATCTTCTTACATTGCTAACCTGTGGGGTTAACATGATTTTGATGATTACATAACACTGGCTATTCAAGAGGTAAAAGCAATTGTTTAAAATGAAGCGACAAAAATCATCACTTGATATGTTCCATTTAAGTATATATACATACATATATATCGATATATGTATTTGGTTGGATAGATGTGAGTTTGTGACCCTGGGTTTCACACTTTAGCGATCGTCAGACAAACTCACATCTATCCAACCAAATATGTTAGCTCTATCTCTGATATTGAGCGCTTTCTAATAAGTACCGCGCATATAATATATAAATAATTATACATATATATATATTTATTTATATTTATATACACTTTTCACACACACACACACACACACACACACACACACATATATATATATATATATATATATATATATATATTGCGGAAAAATGTATGGTAAAGCGGAAAAAGTTTTCTTGTGACGCGTTTCGTCCTTTACGATATCATTGGAATAAATTTGTTATGTTGGTGCCACTACACATGCGCATAAACGAGTGATGCTGGGAATTTTAATTTTTTTCTTCTTTTTTTTTTTTGTCTAATCGAGACGATTTCATTTAGATTCTTTTTCTTTTCATCACTTTTGTAGATATGCCACACTGTTATAATAGAAGTTCTATCAGGAATGGTGAAATGTTGTAAGAGACCGGGCGCAAATTTACTCGAGATGACCTTACGATCTAGACATTTTCGTCGTAGTGAATTGTGTTCTCTTATGATCAGAGTAGTATTTTATTATTATTGTCATTATTACTATTATTAAAGTCAAACATTATTTTTAGCTCCGTTTTATATGAAACGGTATTTATTTCGTCTAACTGCCTACATACCCGAGAAAACATATTATAGAAAATATGTCTGCCAACAGTATTCGAACCTGCGGCCCCATTTGCAGGAAAACCCACCATCTGATCTGGCATATCTGGCTTGGCTAATTACTTTAACATGTTTTCTCAATTGTGTAGGCCGGTAGACGAAATAAATACTGTTTCAAATAAAACGGGGCTTCTGCTCAGATACGGGTATCCATTAAAAATAACGTTTGAAGTAATAAAATATGTTGGATTAAAATGTTAAATCCATAAATTCTCTCTCTCTCTTTATTTATCTATCTATCTATCTATATATATATATATATATATATATATATATATATATATATATATATATATGGTCTGTCGATTGCGCTTAACCATGAAACAGATTGTTGGCTCTAGGTGTTGACTTCAATGTCCACTTTTATATTTACATACGCTCTATCTCTGATATTAAGCGCTTTAACCTACATATATATATATATATATTTTTATTTTATCTTCAACATCATCACTTGATAAGACACCGAGTGTGTTGAAACAAAATGGCTATTTTTGTAGTGATTTTATAACATACTTATGTTATAATTTTTTTTATAAATAATAATTATATATATATATATATATATATATATATATATATATATATATATATATATATATATATGGTATACTGTGCACTAATTCTCTGTATTTCAAAAAGTGTGGATGTTTCTGCACAAGCCTTCACCACTGTAATCAAATGATATGTGCGGATAGTTGGTCGTTGATTTATGAATCGAGTTGCTTGACCTCATAAGTCGAAAACGACGAGAATATATATATATATATATATATATATATATATATATATATATATATATATATATATATATAATGAAAACTAAGACGAATTAAGTTGGGATCAGTATAATGAGAAAATGGATCGACATTTGAAGTGTTGATTGAAATGAAGATTATATTTCATTTTAAGAATTATATTTCTAATCGGTCTTCGTTCAAACGTCCAAGTGAGTAAACTGGTGACTCTTTGAAATATTTCCTTTCCTTTATGTCCTCGGTATTTCTATCTGTTTTTTCTCGCCGAAAGTCAGTTGAAGTGATATACGTCACGTCATGTAACCCATTAGGCTCTTAAGAACACCACATATACTGCACCATAGCTGCAGTAATGTGCCTTGGGCAAGCTAGCAAAACGTAGCTCTCCACTCTGGTTTTGAATTGAGTTTTCTTCTCCGACACTGTTTACCACCTCAATTCTTCCCTACTACTTAATCTATAGATAAAGATGGATTTTCGTTTCTTCCAAGTGCACTGGCGCAAAATAAACGAAACAGAATCGAGCGGGGAATTGAACTCGGTAAAGTCACTTTCTGCGCCAATACCAGTTACACTATATGCGTTTCCTATATACTAACTATATACTCGATATATATATATATATATATATATATATATATATATATATATATATATATATATATATAAACTGCTATTAAATTTGTGATCGATTGCTATTAAGATATATTTTCTTGATCTTTGATACAGTATTAACATGGATAGAATTGATTGGTTTGTTTTTTTACGGCTTATCAACTTTTGAAAAAATTCTTACATTCTTTTCAGGCTTTAAATAAGCCAGAAAAGAATGTAATAATTTTTTTTGAGATAATATGGATTCAATGATACAAGTCCTACTAATTAAATCATAGATGAAAAGAGAAGAGATGGATTCATATATTTCCCAAGCGTATTTTCACGTAAGTGAATATAGCCAACCCGACTGAAACTGAACTCGCCTCTCCGATTTACAATTCTAACGCTTTATCCATTAGACCACCCGTACATTCAAGCTTACAGTACCTGGTGTTCCCAAACGGTCACCCATCTAGTTACTGACCAGGCTCGACGTTGCTTAACTTCGGCGACCATATGAAAACCGCTGTTTCAACGTGGTATGTCCGTAAGCCTTTAGAGTAGATAGAGGTTTCATTCATGGTGTAACCATTCTATTTGCGCTTGAGTGTGTATGAAAAAAACAACTATGGTACACCTACTTGTAAGTAGATGGCAATGTAAGATTGGGAATCATTTACTTCCCTTCGCGACGTGGATTATCACGGTTCTCCAAAATTTCCTGTCCTTTGTTGCTTTAAGTAACATTTGTCTCTTGATCGTATCTCTTTGTTTCCAATCTACCATCCATTTACACAAAGGTAGGTTACTAGTTTCTCTCCTCTGCTCTTCCTGCCCTGTGATTGTTATTTTTCTTTTAATTTCACGTCCTTTCAGAATGTAGATGATCATGGCTGACCGCGGATTTCCTTTCTTTATCTGAGAATCGCCATGACTTTTCGTGAGGGGAAAAATGTGAATTTGTTTCCCGTTACTTGCTCAGTAGTTCCAGATTTTCTGAAAATGTTGTTTCTATTAGACTGGTTGCCACCCAATAACTACAGGTCAACAATTTGTCTGTTATATAGGAATAAAGTGTCGCTGCCGACACTTGAGTTTGAACATAGATCGCCAGTGAGCAAACACAGGCGATCCCAAACGCATAAGTAACCTCTAATTGATTGCATTTCTAGTCTATACTCTATTACTATACGGACCTCTATTCTCTACTCTATTCACTATACTATTTCTCTATTCAGATCACTATACGGTGGCTACTATTCGAGCGAGTAATATCGAGAAAGTACTTTTAGTGCATTGTTCAACGGCGTTACTATAGTTGTATCTGCGATTACAAAGTCTCTATTACAACGAGTATTACAAAAGTGACAACGAATATTCGTTGACATCACAAAAGTGGCAACAAGTGTTTGTTGACATCACAAAAACCTCATACAACATAAATTAAATATCTGTAAAACGGTTCATATTAAGAAGCAGACAATAAAACTTTTTATCGTCTGTTACGAATCAAAAATATTTTTCTGCCTCCTTATGTCTTACAATAATTATCAATATTGCATTCTGATGATAATATACCACACAATGTGACACAATAACATAGTAATTTATAAAATAGTGAGGATGTGGTTTAATATCGTAAACTGATGTAATTTGGTATCATCAGGTGATGGGCGGTGAAGAATGACATAGTTTCGTGAGAAATTACGAGAAACGGCGTGATATGGTGAAGTATCACGTGATACGATAGATGTAATAAGGTGATGTCATAAAGCAATCTCGCCCACTTTCTTAGTGTCTGGTTAAACATAGCTTTGTGTACCACAATGACATGAATAACGCTTAATGGTGCAATCACCTACGCTGTGCAATAATCTTAGTCAGACATACAACATGGCGCATTAGAACATCCAATATTGTCACTTACGGGTAATGATCATGATCTAAGTTGCAATTAATTGTAATAAATTGATTGATTCGAAATTTTATTTCATGTGACATTAAGAATATCGTCCGGAAATATAGTCATTTCTTAATTGAATGAACTTGATTCCGTTAAGTTACTGTCCCAAATTTACGTTCTTTTAAGAATCTGAAATCTCTGTGAAACTCTCTATATCATCATCGTCATCATCATCAGCGGAGAACAACTAAATTCTTAATAACTTTTGAAATAATCCCTATATTTATAAAAAGAAAAATAATAATAAATGTTATCTTGGCACAAACATTTTTATATTATAATTTATCCAGTAGAAGGCTGGAGAGTGACTCAAGGTAGAGAGTTACAAATGAAATACTTATGGATGGGTGTGATATGAGTTAACGAGGAGGGGGATAGAATGTGAAGATTATGAGGATAAGGAGAATATATAACGATTGAGAATTGACATGATCCCATTTATATTCGAGCTTGACTTAGGAAGTTGCCTTTTTATAGATAAACGTCGATACAAAAGAAAATTTCTTCTATAGGTTTATATATTACCTACGATTTCTACGGAGAATAGTCGGTATTTTTAAACATTCTTAATAATAAAACGCATGGTAAGAATTACACCACATTTTATAAAAACGGAAACTGAGTTTTTTTTTTTAAGTTAGAATATCTTTTACTGCCATCTTCATTTATTCTTCTTGGTACTTGTTTAGAAATCGAAAATGTGTTGAAAGTTCTGGTCGGTTCTATTGTTGTTAGTCTGTGAATACGTGCCGGTGGCCGGTGAAGCCGACACGAAGTGTACATGGGGTAACGCGAAATGACTGTTTTTTTTTTAGGATCGTTGTTTGGGCGCTCTTGTTTTTATTTTGTGTGTGTGTGTGTGTGTGTGTGTGTGTGTGTGTGTGTGTGTGTGTGTGTGTGTGTGTGTGAATGGGTGTGTGTGTGTGCGCACGCGCATATGTGTAGGTAGGTCTCTTTTTCCTTCTAACATTGCTTGCAGTCTAGTGAATGGTTACGTGCCAAGCCTGGCGATCGGAAGTTTCTATGGCTCTCAAGGAGGAGCTGATGTTAATCGATATAACACTGTATCAAAATAACCCAAAAGTATTTATTCCATTTGAATTTTACTTGCCGCCATTACAAAAAATGCTTGTTCTCAAATGCAAAATAACACATTTACTGAGCATAAAATAATCCCGACTGCTTACCAATCAAGGGACAAGTAAAAAAAAAATGTCGTAATTCCAGCAACTCCTCATTAAGCGTTTATTTCTCAAAGGTACATCCACTCAGAGAATATGTCTACAACCGCGATATGTTTATTTTCGATTTATCTACTTAGATTTCCATAACATGGAAAGTTTGCGCCTGCATATGTACAAAATTATTCCATACACGTACAAGCAGACTATTTTTTGGACAAACTCCTCCTAATATATACACTGGTGTTTATGAAAGAAAACTTCCACGTCGCTTTTATTGAAAATACAAATAAGTACATTATAAATCTCATAACTATCTCTCTCACATAAAACAAGACACGCATATATATATATATATATATATATATATATATATATATATATATATATATATATATGTGTGTGTGTGTGTGTGTGTGTGTGTGTGTGTGTGCGTGTGCATATTTGAGCAGCAATTCTTTTATTATACATAAAGAAAATGACTAACAAATTACTTCTGTTAATATTTTGATTGTGGACCCCACCATCAAAATCCATTATTTGAAATGAAAAACTTAACAAAATAACAGAAGTAACTTATTGGTCATTTTCAATTAAGCATATATATATATATATATATATATATATATATATATATATATATATTATGTTTACATATAACATATTTACTTAGATCCCCGTAGATCGACCCACATTTTAAAGATTGGCAATTTATTAATATTGAGAATTTTCGAATAAAACCACATACTACTTATGCTGATCTGTAATACAACTAAAGAAATATAATATATATATATATATATACATAATATATAATATATACATTATATATATTATATATGAATATATTAATAATATATATATTAATAATACATATATAAATATAAATATATATATATATTAAATATATATATATATATATATATATATATATATATATATATATATATATATATATTTAAACTATGCTAAATTTGCCGTCCTATCTCTGATATTGAGTACTTTTTACTCAATATCAGAGATAGAAGTCATGTAACTATAAAAGTGGACAGTGGTCAACGCTGAGCAACGAACATTTGTTTCATTCTTCAGTCCATATAAACATATATATATATATATATATATATGTGTGTGTGTGTGTGTGTGTGTGTGTGTGTGTGTGTGTATGTATATATATATATATATATATATATATATATATATATGTGTGTGTGTGTGTGTGTATATATATATATGTATGTATATATATATATATATATGTATGTATACGTCTACAAAACACTCACTACTTTTGCTTCCTTTCCTATGGAAGAGTGAGTAATATGGTGAAACAGAAGTAGCTCTTGATCAGACTATAAAAGCTTGAGGTACCACAAGATGTTGGGAGAGCCACACTATGAGAAGAGTTATAGCCGACAGCTGGAATACAAATCAATATCTGATCAGCATCGACTGGGACGCGGTGAAGATCGAGTATGATGTTATAAAATCCGATACTCTTAATGATCTTTGGCTAAAAGCATCACTGATGCTATGTACCAGTGCATCGAACAAATTTGATGCATGACATATTATTGCATGATATATATATATATATATATTGCATATATATATATATATATATATATATATATATATATATATTGCATTATATATATGTATATATATATATAAATATAAGTATATAGATAGATATAGATTTATAGATATATATATATATATATATATAGATAGATAGATATAACTATATATATATATATATATATATATATATATGTGTGTGTGTGTGTGTGTGTATGTATGTATGTATATTTAAATAGGTTTGAAACGTACAAAAGCGTATTAAGGCATTAAAAACTAGAAATGTTGTATTGTAGATTATGAGGAAAAGAAAAAGAAAAATAATAATCTAAATTCCCCGTTAACAGTTCTGACGAGGGGACGAAACCGGTCGACTGGTGTGTGTTTTATTTTAAGCTTATCATGGCCTACAATACAACATTTCTAGTTTTTAATGCCTTTATATATATATATATATATATATATATATATATATATATATATATATATATAGATAGATAGATAGATAGATAGATAGATAGATAGATCTAGATAGATAGATATTTATTGCATGATATATATATATATATATTTGCTTTCTGGTGAAAATTAAGACAAAAATTGTACAATATTTGGATATTTTTTTATTACGTTTTTTATTAAGAGTGGTTATAGTGACATGAAGCAAATATAACCATCGTCACAGATGATATTTTGTTATTTTGACGTAGAAAATTGCTATGCAAAGATAACGGCCAAGGAATAGCAGACGCAGATCGTAAGTTCAAGATGCAGTTCTATGACGTCATACTACGCGAGAGACCGAAGTATTACAACACAACCAATG